ATAATAACTTTCATTATAAAACCAAATTTTATAATTAAAGATGTTGTCGCTCTTGTGGACAGTGGAGCTGATATGAACTATATACAGGAAGGATTTATTCCGACTAAATATTTTCAGAAAACAACCCAGTCACTTACTAGTGCTAGTGGTAATTCTATGTACATTAGATACAAACTTCCAGAAGTTCTTATTTGCAAACAAGGAATTTGTCTTCCAACTTCCTTTGTTTTAATAAGAAATATGTCTCAATCTATTATTCTAGGGACACCCTTCCTATGTTTACTAATGCCAATCACCAAAATAGATTCTATTGGCATTCATACAACCATAAGTATCAACTGATTATTTTTGAGTTTATTACAAAACCTTATACCAAAGAATTAGATCAGATAAAGGATCTAGTTAATTTTAAAGAGAAACAAATTAATTTCTTGCAAAAGGAAATTCATTGTCTCACTACAGAACAAAGATTACAGTAATCTTCTTTACAAAATAAAATTAAATCATTTGAACAAGAATTTCATACAGAAATTTGCAGTGATGTTCCCAATGCATTCTGGGAAAGGAAAAAATATATAGTTTCACTTCCTTATGAACCAGGATTTAATAAGCGCAATATTCCTACTAGGTCGCGCCCTAGCCAGATGAAAAAAGAGTATTTAGAAATGTATAAAAATGAAATTAATACTCTTCTCCAGAAAAAGCTTATTTGCACAAGTTACTCTCCTTGGAGTTGTACAACCTTTTATGTTAATAAAAATGCAGAAATCGAAAGAGATGTACCAAGATTGGTCATCAATTACAAACCTTTGAATGATGCCTTAAAATGGATAAGGTATCCAATTCCGAATAAAAAGGATCTTTTAGATCGATTACAGCATGCAATCATTTTTTCCAAATTTGATATGAAATCAGGATACTGGCAGATTCAAATTGCTGAACAAGACAGGTATAAAACTGTTTTTATAGTACCTTTTGGACATTTTGAATGGAATGTCATGCCATTTGGGTTAAAAAATGCTCCATTCGAATTCCTTCATATTATGAAGGATATATTCAATCCTAATACAGAATTTGTTATTTGTTATATTGATGATGTTCTCATTTTTTCATCATCCATTGAACAGCATATTAAACATTTTAATATTTTTAAGCATGTTATAATCAGAAGTGGTTTAATAGTTTCAGCACCAAAAATGAAACTTTTCCAAACTACAGTAAGATTTTTGGGTCATAATATTCATAATGGCACCATAATTCCAATTGACAGAAGTATTGAGTTTGCATTTAAATTTCCTGATGAAATTAAGGATAAAACTCAATTACAAAGATTTCTTGGTATTCTAAATTATATCCATGATTACTATCATGATTTAGCACAAGATGCTGCTATTCTTTATACCAGACTTCGTAAAAATCCTCCACCATGGACTTTAGAACATACCGAAGTTGTTCAGAAAATTAAACTTAAAGCTAAGACTCTTCCTTGTCTTACTTTACCAAATCCAAAATGGAAGAAGATTGTTGAAACAGATGACTCTAACCAAGGTTATGGTGGTATCTTAAAACAATACAATCTTAATAGCAAAATAGAAGAACTTTTGCGATTCACTTCAGGAACGTGGAAGCAAGCCGCTTTAAATTATTCGACCATTAAACAGGAATGTTTAGCCATTGTAAAATGTGTTTCTAAATTCCAGGACGATTTATTAAATCAGCTTTTTTTAATTCGTGTCGATTGTTCTGCAGCCAAACAGATCTTTAAAAAAGATGTACAAAATTTAGCTCAAAAACAAATTTTTGCTTCATGGAAAAGTTTACTTTCTGCATTTGACTTTGATATTGAATATATCAAAGGTGAACAGAATTCTTTACCAAATTCTCTAACCTGTGAATACTTGTAGGGTTCAAATGTCCAGTAGAGGCCGAGGCCTAGGCCGAAGGGGCCAAGGAAGGGGAACTAACCCCTACCATGTACAGAATCCATATTATACAGAATTTCCAGGGCTTCAAGCTGCCCTTTCCAGTAAAAAAGGAGAATCTAGCCAATCGGCTAAAGATGTCCTCCTCAATCCTCCCGAACCTTATTTATAGAATACAATAACTAAGGAAACAATCCTTTATATTAATACAGAAGATGAACAATGGATGTCTGATCCATGGGAGATCAAAAGGAGGTATTTGACCACTCAACAATTTTTGCCTCATTTTGATCAGTACAGATATATCTTTGAACAGATATTAGTGGAGACTGCTTCGATTGAGTTCAAACATACTTTGGATGATCCCAATCGAACTGTCAACCCCATCAACTACAGTAAAGCCACAATTCAGAAAATCACACCTATGGCTACTTGGGGTATGCATCCTCATGTTACCAAAACACTTGAGATCCGTAATAAGGAATCTCGCTACAGCTATTGGGATTACATTGATGCATTTATTTATGCATTTTATTACCAAAATCCTCCACGGAACCATTCCTGGTTTCGTCATGTTCTTCCCGATGTTCTTAAAAATGATCGCCCCAACTGGTTTCTCGTTTGGTGGGATAAGTTTGGGCTTCAGTTAGAAGTTTTTTCAGACCTAATCCGACAAGCTTTTAATGAATGGCAAATTGCCTATAGCCGTCTTCTAGTATATAAAGACATTTCAATGTCTAAATCTATTGTCCATTTTATTATTCGCTTTGGAATTCCATGGATATGGAAATGGGACTTCCAATGTGATTACCAGAACAAATTTCCCCGCCTTAAAAGAGTTTTCTTTACAAAGTGGTGGACTAACGGGCTTGACACCCCTAAACAACAACAAGAGATCTTACAAAAAATTCAAACTCATACCAAAGCCTACTGGGAGTCTATTCCAAAATTACTCCCAACCACTCCAGTAATTAAAAATCCTTTTGTCCAAATCCAGACAGAATTAAAGCAAAAGTATCCAGGATTATGATAACAGAAATTAATTGTCAAAAGTATGGATTTCATGAAAGAACAATTTTTACAGTCCCTTTCTAGAGATGATATCAGCATGCATTCTAGAACCAGTAGCCATGGTCCAGAAGAAGATCCAGATCTAGATGAAAATGAATTTGCAGTATTAGCTGGTGAATCTCAAGACCCTGCCAACAACGAACCTAATATGGGTGTTTTTTGGGACTCTTTGACTAGTCTCATTTAAAAAAAAATTGAAAAAGATAAAGACAGGAAAGGAAAAGGCAAAGAAGAATGACCCTTTGTCTTCCACCCAGTAGCCATGGTCCAGAAGAAGATCCAGATCCAGATGAAAATGAATTTGCAGTATTAGCTGGTGAATCTCAAGACCCTGCCAGCAACGAACCTAATATGGGTGTTTTTTGGGACTCTTTGACTAGTCTCATTTCAGAAAAAATTGAAAAAAGATAAAGACAGGAAAGGAAAAGGCAAAGAAGAATAACCCTTTGTCTTCCACCCATTCCACTTTATAGCAATGTCGGTACAAAATGACAAATTTAGAAAAATTAAAAGTAGATTCTTTGTCTGCCATCCAGCTTTATCACTCAATTGTCCATACAGTGGTCCATTGCAGGACAATGAAGATAAGATGCTGAGTCATTCACATATCAGCTGAGGATAAGGACGATCGACCCTATCCATCTAGGACATGCTATCTGTCCTCACCGTTATCTTATCTTATCTTTTATTTGTCTATATAAGGGATGCCTCACCCTTGTTGAAGGCAGGGTGAAAATTAAGCTTTATTTGTAAGAGTGTGCTCTCTCTCTCTCCCTCTTCTCCTGTACGTCTCTTATGCAATATAATAAAGTTTAAAGATTTGATTGTAAGTATTTCTTCACTTCATTTCTTCTCTTTCTTTTCTTTCTTCTTCTTTTTCACTTGTAACAAAAAAAAGTATTTCTTCACTTTTTAATGTATGACTGTAGATACACTTGTTGAATTAAATGCTTTGTTAGATTATTATAAACAGCGTTATCACTACTGATTTACTATTGAAAATCGCCATTTACAGACTGTAAGACTTATACATTTGCAGAAATTTGCTCCATTAATCGAAAATATAGAAAGGCAGATACAGGAGCAAATCTGCTTGTTGGCTGCGGCCAATAGGCCACCACTCTCTTTACAGTAAACTCATGAGACCATATATAGCATAATTTAAATTTAATATAATAATAATATGAATAGTAATATTCCTGGGTTTGTGCTAGTTGAGGATAGAACAGTGTTAGATTGAGTGGGACGTCACCCAAGTCGCGTTAAAGTAGATCGGTTTCGCAGTGATTGAAAGATTACTGTTCAACAAACATGATGTGAAAGATTACATCAATGAGATTATATGTAGACTTTGTTATGACTCCTGCACTGATGATTACAAGGTAATAATGGCAACTCACCTTACGATAATTTTGTCATGGATGTCATGATTGAAAGTTTGAGAAACAAAACGGGTTGAGATGGAAAAGTGAAGTAGTGAATGAAGCCATTGCTTCCATTGATTTTTATTATTATTATCATTATTATTTATATATACAAATCAAACCCACCAAAACGGTGGTATTTTGCTGTCGGCATCCACTCCAAAATCATTGATATTAATGATTATTGTGAGTGTTAGTGGAGTGGATTGAAGTTTTAATAGTGAGTTTTGGTAGAGAAAATTGGAGTTTTGAAATAAAGAAGAAAATGAAAAAAATAAAATAAAAATTGAAACTTAAAAAGAAGATAAAGAGTGTTGAATATAAAATTTTTAATAGAAGTAGTTTGAGTGTATTATGAGAAAAAAAAAATTATTGAGAATTTAATGTCTATTATCTTTATTAATAAATTTACATTAAGATATAATAAAAATTAAAATTTTAAAATTTTAATTAAATGTATGGAATTAATAAAAATTGAATCACCTGAGTGCTTGCAACTAGGTTCTTACCTTTTGTAGAGTCACCACTCACTCACTCATATTTCTCCATACAATTCATTTGATCTCTAATCTTGGGTTGATCCATGGCTACTACAAGAACCCTATATGGCTCTTCTCGTTTTGCTTCTTCATCATCTTTGATACAACCTTGCTGGAGCTATGACGTGTTCTTGAGTTTTAGAGGTGAAGATACCCGCAAAAACTTTACTAATCACCTCTACGCGGCTTTGGTTCATGTTGGAATTCACATCTTCATGGATGATGATGAACTCCCAAGAGGACATGACATTTCTTCGGTCCTGCTAAAATCAATCGAAGAATCGAGGATCTCCATCATTGTTTTCTCAACAAACTATGCTTCTTCCATATGGTGCCTTGATGAGCTCGTGAAGATCATTATTTATCTCCTTGTATTGTAGATATAGTTTATCTCTATCTTTCTCTCTCTCTCTCTCTCTCTCTCTCTCTATCTCCTTGTATCTCTATCTCTTTCTATCTCTATCTCTTTCTATACTTATCTAGGTTTGTAGACAGCTTACAAATACAGGCTCTCCTATTGTATTCAATTCATTCTATATAATACAGATACACAGTTCTCATTTCTCTTTCAACCATTTTAACAGCAAGAAAACACTTGGACAATTAATTCTCCCACTATTCTACTATGCCGATCCATCTGATGTACGACACCAAATTGGGTGTTTTGGAGAAGCATTTCGAAGACATGAAAAGCGTTACGTGGATGAGATGGTGAAGGTGGAGGTGAGGAAAGTTGCCCTCTCTGAATCTACTAATTTATCAAGCTGGGATTTGCAAAATGTTGCTAATGAGTAATTTTTAACATCCTTTTAATTTTGCTACCACTGTTGCTATCAATTTTTATCTTTAACTAGAAAATCCTATCCTTATTGTTTTTAATATTTAAAAAGAAAAAAAAAATCAAGTATAGTTAGTTCACTTTGTAAGTTCAAGATGTTTTGAATTTTACATTTATTAACTACATATTGGAAGTAGGGTTTGTAAGGTTTTGTGTTTTTGTAATATACATTTGCTTTACTTTTAATTTGGATCGAAATTGACAAGTATGAAGCAAAGTTCATCCAAAAATTGTTAAAGAGGTTTTATGTGAATTGAAACATACATTCCTAAATGTTGCTGTGCACCTAGTTGGAATAGATTCTCGTGTTGAACACATAAATTTGATGTTGAGCATTAGATCAGATGATGTTCGCATGATTGCGATATACGGCTTGGGTGGAATAGGAAAAACAACCGTTGCAAAAGTTGTGTATAACCATATTTTCCTCCAATCTAAAGGAAGTTGTTTTCTTGCAAATGTTAGAGAAGTTATAGGAAAACTCAATGGCCTAGTTCAATTGTAAGAACAACTGCTTTTTGAATTATTAGGGACAAAGAATCTAAAGATTGGCAGTGTTGACAGAGGACTTAATTTGATGAAAGAAAGGCTCCATTCTAAAAAGGTTCTCATTGTTCTTGATGATGTGGATCAATCAAGTCAATTAAATACCTTGGCAAGAAATCGTGATTGGTTTGGTCCAGGAAGTAGAATCATCAAAACAACTAGAGATGAGCACTTGTTGAAGGGATTGAAAGTTGATGAAAGATATATGCCTAAGGAATTAAATCACACAGAGTCTCTGCAGTTTTTCAGTTGGCATGCTTTCAGAGAAACAAATCCATTAGAAAATTTTGCAGAGCTTGCAAATGATATAGCAAGTTATGCTAGAGGGCTTCCACTAGCTCTTGAAATTTTGGGTTCTTATTTGTTTAGAAGAAACATCCTAGAATGGAAAAGTGCACTTGATGAATTACAACAAATTCCTCATCATCAAATTCAAAAAAAACTTAGGATAAGTTTTGACTTGCTAGATAATGACAGAATGAAGGATATCTTCCTTGATATTGCATGCTTTTTCATTGGATCGAACAAAGACTATGTCATTACTATATTGAACAGTTGTGGTTTCTTTGCTCAAAATGGAATTAGTGTTTTGGTTAGTAGATGTTTACTAAGAATTAGTGAAAGAAATGAGTTGTTGATGCATGATCTACTTGGGGATATGGGGAAGGAAATTATTCGTGAAAAATATTCGAAGGAGCCTGAAAAGCGCAGTAGATTGTGGTTTCATGAAGATGTATGCTATGTACTTGAAAAAAACAAGATATGAGTCGAATCTTAATTCTTTCTTGTGAGTTAGTAAGTTTTCGGCTAGAAATGCTAATTTTAGTTATTTAATAATCTTTCTTTCTTTTAATTTTCCATTTTGTTTTTTAAATATTACTGTACTAGGGAACAAAAGCAGTTGAAGGTGTGATCCTAACCTTACCCATGTTAAACAAGATACAATGGAGTAATAAAGCATTTGTTGGGATGCATAAGCTAAGACTGCTTTAAATAAATCATGTGCACCTCAGTGGAAATTTTGAAGATCTATTTGTAAAGTTAAGGTGGCTTTGTTGGCATAACTGCCCATTGGAGAATTTACCATCCAATTTTCATCCAGAGAAACTTGTTATTTTAGACATGTAATTCAGCAGATTTAAAACACTCCGGATAGATGGCAGGGTATGACATTCTTAGCAAATTCATTGTTGTTTGGGATTTGGATAAATTATGTAGTGGATGATGATGAAAAAAAAATTATATAATTATATATATATATATATTTTTTATTTTAATAGCAATTCAAGAGTTTGAAAATTCTAAATCTCAGTAATTCCAAATGCCTAACATAGAGCCCCATCTTCTGCGCACTACTGATGCTCGAGGAGTTACTGCTTGAAAGTTGTACAGGTTTAATGGAGCTCCATGAATCAATTGGGCTTCTATTTAAACTTGTTCACTTGAATTTGAAATATTGCATGAACCTCAGGTATTTTCTGGGTAGTATCTGCAAGTTAAAGTCTATTAAACATCTAAATCTCACTGGTTGTGCAAAACTAGAGGAGTTTCTAGAGCACTTGGGACATATGGAAAGCTTAACAGAGCTTCTTGCAGATAGAACAACCATTAAACAACTACCTTTCTCTATTGGATTACTGAAGAATCTTAGGAGGTTATCGTTGAAGGGATGTAATAGGCAATTGACAACTGAATCCTAGTTTTCTCTCATTTCATCTTGGGTTTTACTAAGAAAAAATGTTGACTCCATAAGATTTTTACCATCATTTGTTTCAGGTTTGTGTTCATTAACAGAGCTAGATCTTAGTGATCATAATCTGTTTGAAGGAGATTTTCCAGCTGATCTTAGGAGTTTATCCTCATTACGAGTGTTGGATTTAAGCGGAAACAATTTTTGTAACCTACCATATGGCTTCAGTCATCTATCCAAGCCAGAAGACCTTAAGTTGAATAACTGCAGAAGTCTTCAATCTATCTTAGATCTTCCTTCGAACTTATTGGAAGTACAGGCTTATGGTTGTGCATTACTTGAAAAAATATCCGATCTATCAAAATTGAAGACTCTATTAATGTGACCTGTATAATACCAAAGGAGAAGGATTCCCTCATGTCCAAATAATATGGATCGGAGGACATTGTGTAGGTGTGTGGAATTGACCATGGGGTTTGGCTTCATTTCGATAATTTGTATATTTTATTTTATCAGACATTTCACATATTTTATTCATAAAAAAAAAAATTAGATCGATCCGATAATCATAATATATTCAATTTATCAAATGTGTCACAAAAAAGAAAAAAAGAAAAAAAAAGAATGACAATTGTGTTTTTAAAAAATAAATAATATAATTTTTTTGGTGACAAACGCAATAAATTAAATAGGCTATGGTTATTAGATCGACTTAATTTTTGTATAAATGAAATAGGTGAAGTGCCTAATAAAATGAATAGTTTAAATTCTATAAACGAAACCTGTGGTGGGTCTCATGGACCTAAACAACACCAATATCTTACTCTTATGAATTTTTTATTCAAAAGTTTTTATTTGAATGATGTGGCACTAATAACAATTTCAAAAATAGGATTCACTATTTTTATTACCAGCTACATGATAATATATTAGGCAATTATGTATCACATGTTTATATTATCTTTTTATGTCACCAACCTGCTTGGAAAGATGTCATTTGTTTGCATTAATCTGTTAATAATCATCTTCAAATAAGAGAATATGGATACTTATAATCATAAGTATCCATATAGACGGTGACACAAAATAATGATAAATAATCAGTCATATATAGCATTTCTGTATGACAATATGTTATTTGTTTTCATTGATTTCTTGATAATTATGTATAAACAAATGAGCCAATTATAAATATCCATGTAGACAATAATACTGTCATGACCCGAATCTGCCCCTATGGATTAAGGTCATAATCGGCCAGTAATCAAGGGATTACCTGCGGCCTCAAACGAAAAAAAGCGTATTCCATCAGAGTTAAGGGGCCAAATGGAAGCAAACTTGCAAATTGTCCATAGAGCCGTGCTTACATGGCACATCAAATAACTAATATCTGCATTCATTAATAACTCACACCAAAAGAAATCAACTAAAAGTGTTATACACACACAGGATCATTCAAGTCTTAGTCAGCCTAACCAAAACTTATATACAAAGGTAATCCAACATTTTGCCAACACAACGAGATTACAACAAGAGATCAAAAAAGGCAAAAGTAAGTCTCATGCGTGAGACATTTAGGGCTGACTCTCCAAAACTTGACCTTTCTCACAGACTTCACCGGGGCTGAGTTTGGACATCTCTTTGCTCACCTACATACACATGAATGAGTGTGAGTGAAAGCCTAGTGAATAATATAAAAGAAAGAAGGTACGCAAATGAGATTCACATATGTCCAACGGCCTTGGGCCTATGTAGAATTCTATTTAGTGCATTATTTTGGTACATTAGGTGATTCAAGCCCGAACATATCAAACGGCCTTTGGCCCACTTCGTTCCTTAGCAAACGACCTTGAGCCCAATTCATTCATGTATATCAAACGGCCTTTGGCCCAATCATTCATGTCAAACGGCCTTCGGCCCATTCATTCATGTCCAACGACCTTTGACCCATTCATTCATGTCCAACGGCCTTTGACCCATTCATTCATCAAACGGCCTTCGACCCGTTCATTCATTCATATCAAACGGCCTTCAGCCCAATCATTTGTATCCAACGGCCTTTGGCCCAACCATATGGCATAGCAAACATTTGTCCACAATTCAAATTAACAAGCTTCTAGGACTTGTATGGAAATAAGCAATTGGACAAATAACATACTTCAAAATATCTTTATTAAGATATTACTCACAGTGATCGGCTGGATGATTTGCCCTCGTGCTTGACCTTACACATTTCATAAACATAACGGGTCACAACGATTTAATCCGTTCTTAATTCACACATCCCTCTTAGGCTTCTTTCTTATCCTTTTAACTCATTTATGATGTTCAATGCATGCCTAAGAGTGCTTAGAAATGAAAGAGAACGGAAAATGAAACACAGAATACCTTTACAAAATTTCTGAAACAGGGGTCCTCGCTCGAGCGTGGGTTCCGCCGCTTGAGCGGACCCTCAAGGTCTGCAAAAGTACTGGTTGCCTCATTTTTACACTCGAGCGTGAATTCGGATGCTCGAGCTGAAAGTCACACTACATGGCTCCCCGCTCGAGCGTGAATGTTCCCACTCGAGTGGACATTAATATCTGTAAAAATTCTGGGAGCTCGTATTTCACACTCGAGCGGTGCTTTCCCCGCTCGAGCGGACATGCCAAATTTTGGGTTTTCTAGAATTGTTCTTCAAGTTCAAACTCCATGTTCAAAGGTTCAAAACTCACATTTTTGGTACAAAACATGGAGAGACACTACATAATATAAGAATACAACCAATGTGAGGCTAATTATTCAAAATCATGATCTAATCCTCAAATAGATCAACATTTCTCTTGCATGGTCCAAACTTATGTACTCAAGCTTCATACCAATTTCATAACTTCATCAATCATGCATGCATGTCAATTTTTGACTTCATTTCTATTTCAAATGGTGCAAATGGTGTTCAAAATCATGAAGCTACACAAAATTACTCATGCATGTAAAGTTTGGTGCTCAATTCTTGATATTCAACATGCTTCATGCTTGAATGTGTATAACCATGGCAATTATGCACATATATGCTTCAAATTCAACAAATTCAATTCAAATTATGTTCTTGATCACAATCAAACTTTGAATTCACATGGTTACAAACTCAAACTCATGAATTAAGGGTTGATCACTTACCTAGGAACTTCAAACACCCAGATTCTAGCTAGATCCTTGAGTTTAGCTTTCAATTCTCAAGCCTTGAGCTAAAATTGCATAATTCTCCCTCTTTCTCTCTCTAGAGCCGACCCTCTCCCTCTCTAGAGTGTAAAATCTGATTTTGAGCTCAAAACTAAAGGAATGTGGGTGTATTATGCCCCTTTTAAAGTCTCCCTTAATCCTATTCCATTAACACTAATTAATTGAGCACTATTTCATCAATTTAATCTAATTAATCTGATCCGAATCAATTTTCAATTAAATTTCACCGTAGGCTCTAAAAATTATGCCAATCACAATGGCGTGATCAATTTCGGTTCTTGTGGCCGATAGAGCCTTCAATTTAAATTCTAGAGCAGCGAATCAAACAAATTTTCCTACAGTGAACAGATAGAAATTCAAAACCACATATATTCATATAAATGGCACTCAAAATCATATCAAACACATAATCACATTCATAATAAAGATCAATTAGCATAATACGGAACAGGGTTATCACAGTCTTCCCTCCTTTAGGAAGTTTGGTCCTCCAAACTTATTTTACCTTCGTTGGGAAACAAATGTGGATAGCGTAGTCGTATTTCATCATCTTTTTCCCATGTGGCGTTCGTCCCATAGTGTTCTTTCCATGCTACTTTCACCATCGGAATGGACTTGCTTCTTAACTGTTTCATTTGTCGGTCGATGATTCGTTCCGGCCATTATGCGTATTCCATATTCTCATCAAGAGCTATCCGGTGATAATCAATCACATGAAGGGGATCTCGGAGATAACCCCTTAACATTGACATATGAAACACATTATGGATTTGCTCAAATCCCGGTGGCAAAGCAACTCTATAAGCAACTGGACCAAGCCTTTCCAGAATTTGAAACGGCCTAATGTAACGGGGCGACAACTTTCCCTTCTTTTCGAACCTGACTTGGCCTTTTATTGAAGTCACACGGATAAACACGTGGTCACCAACCTCATACTCAAGAGGTCTTCTTCGAACATCTGCATAATTCTTTTGTCGGTCCTGAGTTGTTTTGAGCCTCTGTTGGATTGTTTTGATCTTCTCAGAAGTGTCTTGCACAATTTCAAGCCCAAGTAAAGCCCTATCCTTGACTTTTGTCCAACAAATTGGTGACCTACACTTTCTACCATACAAAGCCTCGTATGGTGCCATACCGATGCTGGAGTGGAAGCTGTTATTGTATGCAAACTCTACTAGTGGCAAATAGTCTTCCCAACTCCCTTGAAAATCCAAGGTACACATTCTCAACATATCTTCTAACGTCTGTATAGTCCGTTTTGATTGCCCATCTGTCTGTGGGTGGAATGTAGTACTAAACCTCAGTTCTGTCCCCATAGCTTTCTGCAAACTTGTCACGACCCCATTCCGCCCCTAGTAGAATGGTGCCATGATGGCCAGTAATTCGAGATTACCCAAGGCCAACTTGCAAGGGTTCACACACAAACAGAGTGTACATATGGGGCTTACAAATGCGGAAGCAATAGATTCAAAGCTAAGTAGTCCATAAGAGCAGTGCATAAGTTAAATGGAATGGCATACATCTTTACATAGCTTTAATACAACAAAATAAAGTACAAAAATACATCTTGACCAAAAGGCTTCTCAGCCATCAAATACAAAATACAATGAAATACAACTAAGAAGCATAATCTTCAAGATGCTGCAAAAGTGCAAAATCCAAAACAAGTGGCAAGTACATCTAGGCGTCACCGCCGTTCTGCTCGTCACCTACATATATATATATATAGAGAGGGGTGAGCTTGGATACTCAGTGAATGGTATAAATAATAAAAGGGTTTACATGAATGATATCCGAAATCTTTATCAAATCAAGGCACATCACATCTTGTACAAAATCCAAGGGCAAATCAAGTTTATCTAACAAATCTTTCAAGTCTCAACAATTGAAGTCTTTCAAGGCTTTCAAGTTCCAAGGGATGACATTAACAAAGGTTGTGCTACAAATGCTTATAGTCCCCTAGCATGTACGGACTTTCAAAGATTGTGCTACAAATGCTTATAGTCCCCTAGCACGTACGGACTTTCAAAGATTGTGCTACGAATGCTTATAGTCCCCTAGCACGTACGGACTTTCAAAGATTGTGCTACGAATGCTTATAGTCCCTAGCACGTACGGACTTTCAAAGATTGTCAAAACCAAAGTTAATACTTGATACACAAAACA